TGATTTAAACTAAAGTGTGACTTTGGAATGAAAAGCTTTGCTATAACAAACATTAGATTTAGGTTATTTCACTAATCCTTATAGGCGTGAAGTTTGATTGGGAAATAAACCAAACAGCTAAACATGGATTAGGCGGTAAACACTGGAGAGTGAGTATTAACACATAGCTTTCCTTTCTCATGACAGCAGTCGCTTGTTTCGCAAGTATAATCCCCAGGAGGGACAGGAGAAGTCCAACAGCATCATAAATATCCTCTGCACTGTCACCCCGAGGAAGGTACGTACCTCCATCAGCTCTGAAAACAAACGTCATTCATCTACATGCCAAACAGAACTGCTCGGCTGTGGTTTTCAAGCCCTGTGCCAATCTTTCTGACTTTAAATTCAGGTCTGACTGCTTTACTGACATGCCCGAACTAATATTGTGACTTGGTGGTTGCAGGAAATGTCGCCTAAAGATCTGCAGACGATAGAAAACATCAAATGGGATCCTCCGTTTGCTTACGACCCGATCAGCGGCTGGAAGAAGAGCAGCATCAATGTGAAGAATTATGGACGGATGATTCACAGCTCCAAAGTCCGTTTCCGCTTCGTCCACTGTCAGGTAAGCGCAGCAAAGCACCTTTTTTTTTTTAAATGACCGTGTGTCGCAATGTCAGGAACAGAGGTGTAAAAGAAAACAAAGATTATACTGCAACTCCCCCGTTGAGGTTAAAGTCATCTCCAACAATGGCCAAGCCTATGGTGACACATCATCCCTGTGCGAACCCAGCGAGTGTCAGAAGCCGAAAAAACAACAAAACAAAACAGGTGGAGAGTAACAGGATGTGGCTGCAGCCACCAAACACAATGAAACTCGCTGCCGGCTTTGACGCACTGGTTGGCTGCGAAAGATCCAATACGTTTTCCAAAAAGAGAACCGCAGCCTGTGTTTGGACATGCTTGCATAGGCTGTGGTTGTGAAACAGCTTAATGAGAAAACCTCAGGGTACAGAGAGAGTGCGTCTGATCCCAGGCACAGATAGAGGACTCGCTGGCTCCTCGCGGTGGGAACTGCAATTTGTCAAAGTTGTGACACAACAGCTCGGTCAATAAGCGTAAAAAAAATTAATTGAAGGAATGACGTCACGGTGGGAAAAGAACATACTGTGCAGTGAAGAGCAAAAATAATACTGTAACAAGACGGTGGGCACTCAGTGAATCAGAGGAAAACGCTTGAGCAAGATGGTGTGATGCAAAATAAACAGTAATAACGTGCGCCTCCGCACGGGCCTTTATGCATACACAGGTTCATTTCCCTGCAACCGGAGATTGCAGTTTTAATGCAGAACAGTAATCCTCACAGGTGGGATAGATTTTACTACACGGCACGTTTGGCTCATCTTCTTTTACTGTCTATTCAGGATATACACGACTGCTACCTGGATCTGTTCCAGACACACCTTCATTTTGTTTCCAACAACACAACCGGACTGACATACCAGGTGAGTTTTCAAAATTCAA